ATAAAATATTTCTATTGTATTCATAAAAAATGGCTGTTTTGTTAAAAAGGAAAGGAAAAAAAAAATCACCCTATTAAACCTTGTCACTGCAACAATGTCAACGGAAAAGTTTGTAGTAAGCTTTTATTTTCTTTTTTCTTTGTATTCAGCAAGGATTCATGTAAAATCTAAAAAAGTTATATTTTAAATAAATGCTAATCTTTTAAGCTCTTTATTCATCAAAGAATCCTGTTTCCACAAAAATATTAAGCAGCACAACTGTTTTCAACATGATAATGGTAAAAGTTTCTTGAGCACCAAATCAGCCTATTAGAATTATTTCTGAAAGATCATGTGACACTAAAGACTGGAGTAATGATGCTGAATTTCAGCTTTGCCATCACAAGAATAAATGTTACATTTATTCCTGTAATGAAGGAATTACATTTTAAATTGTATTCGATTAAATAAAATAAAATAATTCAATAAAATAAATGTTTTTTAATAAATGCAGTCCTGATTAGTATAAGAGACTTAGTTTATTTTGTACACTTTTTGGCACATAAATGGTCATGTTTGTGGCAGTATACAAACACAAGAAGTATTTTAAAGAGGCCTTGCACCCCTAGTTGCTGTGACCTGAAACTGTCGAAGAAGTAACCTGAAGTGGAAGAAATTCTCTCATTGTTGAACTGATATCTCCACACTTCTCATGTCAGTATTAGACTTCCTCCGCATGTGAATTTGATAGTATAAGAAGCACACAGCTAACTGGAAAATTGTTCTCCATGATGTTTGTTCCATTGATGTCGTCACCTGTCCAAGAACCTCTCTGGAGTCCTGTTCTGTGGGACAAAGCACAACAGAAGACACATTATACCTCTGTCGTCTTAGTTTCGGCCTGTCTGTGTGCTCTTGGATCCATTTTCGTGTTCATAAAGGAGTGGTTCAGATGGGGTGTTGTGAAAGCTGACCCCGATACAGTGTTTTATGAGAGTGAATACTTGGTGCAGATGGAATGAGGAAGCATGTTTCGTGGCTTTAGCGAACATGTGTTAACGCTTTAAGAACGTGAGACAGTTTCTCAAGCAACAGAATTCGTCATCGTGTGTTAATATGAAACCAGCACAGTGTTTTGTACTCACACCTAGTAAGTATATTTACACAAGACACCAGTCCATTTCCTGCATGCGTAACCAGAATATTTATCATTTGCAGTCTGTTTATGAGTCTATAATTGGGCTCTTTTTTTGTCCCAGGTTTTTCTTTACTTTTTTCATACTGCAGCATATTATTTCATTTTTTCCGTCTTCTTTTTTTCACCAGTAATGTTGTCAGGCAACCAAACAACAGCAAAACACAATGACAATTGATCTGTTGTTTTTATGTCATCTAGTACTATGAATACAGACACTCTCTCTCGTTCTCGCTCCCTTTTTGTCCCTCTCTTGCATGCCCACGTTTTCTTTCTCACGCTCTTTTTAACATTCCTATCTAGGCGTTTTAGCGCTAATAATTATCCAGACACTCCAGATCTCATAAAAGCCTGTTTGAGCCTGTAAAGTGATCCCCCTCCTGTGTGGCACCAGTTATGCCCTCTTATGAGAGTGATGTATCGATTTACACGATTTTTGTGACACATTTGGAATATATGAACCACAGACTTATTGCTTCAATTGGTGGCTGACTAAATACTTTTTTGCCCCACTGTATGTCTGGTTTGAGGGAACGAAAGAAATGAAAAACTTGAGAGAAAGTGGCCATTTGGAAAGATGAGGATGTTTAAAATGATGAAAAAGAGAGTAAGAAGCATTTTTGCCACGGCTGATTTTTTCCCAACTGCTTTATGAAATGCAGCAGGGATGCATCTCTAATTACCGAACAGGAGTTTTCATTTCATTAGTGTGTGTTTTAATGTTTTGCTGAGTGTTCATTGCGGTTGTCACTAGTGGCAGAAAACGACAGCAGCAATGTTCTCTTAAGCCCTCCAAGTTAATCTTAAAAAAATCACAGAACAAAATTCAAATGTTCCTGTTATTGATGTAGATCTTAAAGCTGCAACATGTATTTCATAAGTTATAATAGTAAAAGTTAGAAAGTCAGAAAGTTTGATGAGACGTTCAAAATCCCAAGACTTACAGTGGCAGATGTAGGAATGAAGTTATCACATAAAATATATCACAAATTCATTTGAGCACACTTTGAAGGGTCAGCAAAAAAGTTTTTTTTGTACATTTCAGCTATGAATTAAGCATGAAAAATAGTACAAGTGTTACATACCTGATGTCCAGATTTGTCAAACCCTTAAAGGGTTTAAAAAAATAAAAATAAAAATAAAAAGATATATATATATATATACACTTTTTTTTTTAAATCAACAATCATGTTGAATGGCTTTCTTTCTTCTGTGGAACATTAAAGATAGATTGAGCCATTGTTGTTTGATTCCCAACATTCTTCACAAGGTCTTCTTTTATTTTCCACAGAAGAAAGAAGGTCACATCAGAGTAAGTAAAGTTTAAATTTTTGTGAGTTTTTGTTAGTGTGAACTAATCTTGTGTGAATTCGGGGGTTGAATTACAATACTGTTCTTGTAAGAAAAAAAGTATTTGGCAAAGGAAATGTGCATGATTTAGGCATTGTGGAAACGCTGCCTGAAAAGGCCTGCCCGCAGCTGTGATTATCATCCAGCTGTTGGCTTATTTTATCCAATCGGCTATCGCTGATGTCATTCTCACCTGCAGGAAGTGGTGTGTCAACAAGAATAACACAGCATTTGTGAGAGTTTGTGTGCCCTCCAGTATGCTCAAATCCCACACATTGACTCACTCAGTACCTTGTACAATCAAACCTGTAGGGTGCGACTTGAGAGGTGATGTACCCTGAAGCTGAGCAGGCCTGTGGCAGGGAGATATGGTGTTTGCACAGACACACACACAGATTCACGTGTACTTCAACACACTCCACCAGCACTTACTCTTTCTGAGATCTCTGTAGAGAATACATTCAGTTTTAGCTCCCAGGTTAACATGCTCATGCAGTAAAAATACTGTTTAAAATTTTGGCACAAAAAAACACTTTCTGCTAAAGTTAGTTCTGAGAAATGTTAGTTTCTTAAAGTTGGCATGAAGTGAAACTTTATCCCATTTTCTAAATATATTAGTTTTTTTTTAACCTTGTAATTTTGAATCATATCTCAATCTTCCAGTAAAATGACATGTCTCTCTGGTGGGTGTATGCTGAAGTTCTTAAATCGTTTGGATAGAAATGTTAGATAAAACCAAGTCTCAAGTCCCTCCTGTATGGATAGAATCTACATTTTCCCCTTTTTCGATAATCTGTTTCACTTGGTTATATGTGACCGTATGGAAAAAAGATCTGTCGCAACTTTAGTATCATTCCAACTTTAAGTGTCTTAATACTGTTTGCATATGCACACACACAACAGTCCCTCTTTCTTTATTTAGTGTAGAGAGCTGTGCCAGTTCTTACAGATTGTAAATGGTTTGGCCTTTTCTCATGCCCGTTTCATTACCTGTAATGAATTTAGCAGAGTCTAAGCTGGAGAAGCCTGTTGTTTGGGCTTACTGGCTTTGGGACATTCAGGTCATGAAGTGAGAAGTACAGATCTAAATCTGGACCTGAGGTGAAGAGTGTTGGAAAAAAGTTATGTCATTAATGACAAATGCCACCCCAGGACAGTCATACAATATGCAGAAGAGTTGCATTTCCCTCGAAGGAGAGAACAGGAAATTGAATCGAACTTAAAAGTAAATTACGGATGCTATCATTTCTGTATAATTATGTCGATGTCTATTTTCTGATGAGGACTATTTTGAGCTCCTCTCTAGATACTTTTAGAAGTAAGGTGTGGATTTTTTTACAGGTGAAGTGTTTTCACTCAAAAAGAGCACATCACTCGCTCAGGACTTGATCCAGATATTGCGTGTCACAACACAGAACATTTCTACAGCTCGTCCCTTTGAACCTACAAATCTGTTTGATTCTGGCTTGTTTGTAGTTCGGTTTATCCTGAAATTTATCCTGAAAGTGTGTTTATTTCGGTAGTTTTTGTATGAAGCCCTGTGATCCCCACATCTGTGGATTTAATATAACGTACACACTCGTGATTGCCCTAGGTGATCTGTCCATGTGCTATTAATGTTTTCTGACAAAGTAAAGCTCCAGGTTTTATTCTTGATTTATGACCTCTTGTTAGTCAAAGTCATAAACATGCCATGTGGTTGATTGTTCCAGACAGGGAGAAATACAAGTACATGTAACACTTTTAAGAGTCTGCTATACAAAAATTATTAAGCACACGACTTGTTTTGCTGACAGTTGACTTTTATGTGTCGTTCCTATTATTGAACCATTCTAAAAAAGACAGGATGGGATTTTATGGCCTCAGTCTGAGTTTTTTACTTATCGTTATAATAATTTAACACAATTTACAGTCTATTTCAGCTGATATTCTTAGGGCAGCTTTTAGTTGTGTTGATTATTACACTACCCTTCAAACGTTTGGGGTTGGTAAGATTTTCTTCTCTTATGCTTAGCAAGGCTGACCCCAACCATTTAAACGGCTGTGTTTGTCTGTTAAATAAATGGCAGTAGCAACCAGTCATTAATTATTTTGCTCACTCATGTACTCCCAACTGACCAGAATAAAAGTCATTTTGACACTTGACTAAGTTTACCAAAGGCAAGTTCTCATTGGTCATGATGTTTTAAGGCCGTCAATGTTGTTTTTTAGCTGGATTGATTTCGGGCATGAACAACAAATGTAGGCTGACATGTAGCTCTAAAGATGTCTTGTTGCATTAAAGTTTGTTTGTCTAAACAGAAGTCATACGTGTGTGGCTATCTGCTCAAATTCTCTCGGTTGTATGGCTTTCTGTGTCATCCCTTAAGCAGAATTTCTCTCTCATAATACGTTTCATAACGTGCTTCCACTTGCCAGGAGTGGAAACGGCTCAGGAAAGGTTAATTCACTTATTTCTTCTTATTTGTCTTTTTAGGTTCACATTTGCACAACAGGACTCATTGTTACTCCTCCACCAAGCAGTCCTGTCACCACAGCGACAGTTTTCACATTTCCTCCAGAAACCAGCTATGCCTCTATTCCAGTGGTGAGTCTGACAAGGTCCTTAAATCGACTTAGTATGTCAAATTTCTTCATCATCCTATCAGTTTATTCATACGACATACGAACTTCTCCTTGGGTAAGCATATTACCTCAGTTTCAGTATCAGTGTACACTGTTCAAAATTTGATTTGTTTTGAACATTACAATCCTTAAAATGTAATTTATTCATGTTATGGCAAAGCATAATTTTCAGGACTTTCAGCCATGAAAGTGCCCATTTCCAGTGTCACTTGAAAAAAAAAATTGTAATGATGTAAAAGTCTTTATTGTCACTTTTGATCAATTTAATGTGCCCTTGTGGAATGAAAATATTAATAATAAAAAAAAATCTTACTGACCCCGAACATTTGAACAGTAGTGTATCAAAACACAAACACTCACATAACTAAAGCAAAATGTAAGCAGCTCTCCCTCTAACATTTTCATATACTTTCACATTCATACAGACTCAAATGCTAATGCTAAACGAGGACAGTTTGCCATCTGATAGCCCTTCATCTCCTTCAGCGCAAACATACACACCATTTCAGGGAGTTGTGTGGGCCTCAGGCTGGACACTAATGGCTCTCTGAGATTGATGTGTGTTCAGTGCTGTGCGGGTACTGTTTCCTTTTGTTTTCAAAGCATTGTTATTGTAATGGTGGCCTTGGTGTGCAACGGTTGACTCTCTTGTCTCGTATATGGGATTTAAAAGCACCAGAGAGAAAGATGTTGTTTTTTTTAGTTTTTCCTAATTGCAGTAAATCCACATTAGGCAGTAAACACAAGACACATGAATTAATAAAACAAATAAGACAAGAGCATTAGTAGAGAAAACATTGTAGGAGAACTTGAAACGAACAGACAAAAAGGTGACTTAAAGCAACAAAACAAGCTTTACAGTGTGAGAGTTGTTTTCGTAGTGGTGCCACTGGGCTCATAAAGTCTGTTTGCAGATGTGTGCGTTGGTCCATATGGAACCGATTTCTCCGTCTTCAGCCAGACATGTAGCCCAGGCTGGATATCCACCAATCACAACACCTGCCACAGCCAAAGTACCCGCTTGTTAGCAACCAGCACACAAGCTGGAAAGTCACAGTCAGTGGGATTATGGTTTTATGACATTGCCCAAACTTTGCAGGGATGTCGCTGACATAATTTCCTGCTACACATGAGATACATATATGTGAATCGATGTCAAAATAACAATGAAAATGGACGGGTATGAGAACCGCAGTATCTCAAGATGTACTTTAATTGTATTGTTTCTTATACATAAATCATTTTGTAGGAGACATAATATTAACAAAATGTATGTTTAATTATTTCAGGATGCTCTTCCTCCTCCACCTCCTCCTCCACCTCAGTCACAGTCCTCAACTGTGGGCGCTGCCGCCTTGAATGCTGGTCAGAGGCCGTTGCCCGCTGTGGGTGAACAGAGTGGCCGTCAGAGACCCACCGTGTGAGTACAACATAAAATGCACACACTTTAAATATACAACTTTAGAGATGCCTACTGTTAAGAAAAAGTATGAGAGGGTCCTTGCAACTCTAACTCACCTCTCTGCTATTACCCAATGCCAGCTGAGCGTGACTGAACACACAGGTGAGGGGTCAGAGGTCATGTCTAAGGAGAATAGGGTTGTCTCTGGGGACTTAACCTGAGCCCTGACCTCTCACCTTTTGTCTGCATATCAACTAAACACACCTGATTTATGTTGGAGTCGCCCATTATGCTCTGGGTGGAGTATGTTTATGGCTGTTATTCATTACATTCCCATTTTCAAGGCAGTTTTTAAAGACTTTATGGTTTTTGTGTCCTTGGAAATTATTTTACAGCTGAGAGTAGATTTGTTATGATGCATAATAGCCGTGTAGGAACAACGCCAACCCCTGTTTGATTAGCAGTACTGCATCCAAGTCAAATTAAAACTCTAAATATTGATAAATTAATAAACAATTAAAAAATGCAAAATGGTAATCAATTAAAAAATTATTTAAAGTCCATTTTAAAAATAACATAAATGATCAAATTTTAAATTAATTAAACTTTACAGAATGAAATGTCTCTTTTGTTTGTTTGTTTATATATTTTTAATGTTGGAAACTTGATTCTCTCTCAGGTACGTGGCGATGTTTCCCTACATGCCTCGTAAGGAAGATGAGTTGGAATTGAGGAAGGGGGAGATGTTTCTGGTGCTGGAGCGCTGTCAGGACGGCTGGTTTAAAGGAACATCCATGCACACTGGCAAGATCGGAGTGTTTCCTGGTAACTACATGAGTCCTGTCAACAGGTATGACACACACACACACTTACACACTTGTATATGTTATTACTCCTACACCATGTAAGCTAGGGAAAAATTAGATTGTCCTCTGGCTCAGGCACACATACACCACACATAAAGTCTCCACTTGCAGATAAAACTGAGCTGGTCACGTTCACACATGGAATTGTTAAAAGAGTGTTCCAGGTTCAATAAAAGTTACACTTTGTTGACAACTCGTCAATCATAATGTGGATTACAAATTAAAAAAAATGTGAGATTAGTCACAATAAATGATAAAGCCACAAATGCCGTCAATAAAGCTTCTTATGCACCGGGACATTCCTTTAAACTCAGCACTCTCTTGTGGCAGGAATGAGAATTACATGCATAATATCATTCACTGATTGCATGAAAACACATCACCTTGAAGTAATCAGCATGATGAGCCATTTACAGTCATTCAAGCCATTGTACAGATGTCTTCGAAATGTCTTTCTTACAGCTCCTCTTACAATTCCTATTAATTTTTTTTTCTCATCACACCTGTGATTTAAAAATAATACAACTACATAGAGCCTGTTAAATGTACAGATGTTTCTGTTGATTTGCTGTAAAATGTGTTGCATTGTCAAAAGATTCAGGATGAGCAGAACCTCTTGAACCTTCCTTCCTTTTCTTCCTTTTACTGCAGGACTGTTTCTGGCAGCAGTCAGCCAAAAGTTCCCCTGACCCTGTGCTCCCAGGCGGGACGTGGCGTCACCATCGTCAGCCCCTCCTCTGCTCCTCTTGGAGCTGCCCTGGGGAGTGTCGAACCCAGCAAACCCCTCCCAGTCTGCCCAAATCCCACCCCGTCTTGCCCACTGCCTGCTGCTGTAGTGTCAGCTGCACATATAGCCACTGGACAGCACCCCAAAGTGCTCATGCATGTGACGTCACAGATGACCGTTAACCAGGCACGCAGTGCAGTCAGGACAGGTAGAATTACATGCACACACGCACCTAATAACAAACACCACTCAGAATTTTATTTCAGAAACAGGCCTGTGTGCTTATGATATAATTTAGTTTTTAACTTCTGAATTAAAATTATTTTTAGGAACAACACAAAACATTTAAAAAGTAAAAAGAAAAAAAATTAAAATTTTCCTGAAAAGCATTAAAAAATTATTATTGAAAAGAAAACCACAAGTAGTTTGGCATAATTTTATTTTTTAGTTATCTTTTTTATTATTATTGCTTGGCAAACAATACTTAAAAAATTAATAATCATGAACTAAATTGTCACTAAATTGATACGTTTCACGGATTTTTTTCAAAATCATATAAAACCAACATGAATACAAATAGTATATTTCTAAAAACTTTAAAATCTTTATTATGGGCACTCAAATTTGACATCAAATAAATCATCTTTCTTTTATTCCACCTTTTTTCCCCCACTAGCTGTGAGTCATAGTCAGGACCGGCCTACAGCAGCAGTGACGCCCATCCAATCCCACAATCCTGTGTCCTACCTTCCTAGCACAGCTGTGGTTCTTCAGGCGTCACCTGTCCTCGGCTCCAGCCCAGGATCCTCCTCAGCCAGAGTTGGTGTGGCTATGAGCTGTGCCGCCGCCTCCTTGACCCCTCCTAATGTTAGCGCTGCTTCTTTGGACAGTGATGCCATGAGACCTGTCTCTGTTGTAGCACTTCCTGTGAACCCTGGCGGCACAAAATCTCTTGGTTCAGCTTTGAATCACGGTGTTGCTTGTAGACTGGATAAAGACTGCAAGGTGAGACATTTTACATCATCTACAGCTTTTATAATGGTTTCTTTTGCTTTTCCCCTCCCATCAGTGTTATTTTAATGTGCTGCAGGAAGGCATCTGGCAATTAGAAATTCTCAAGAGTTTCACCTCTTTTGCTGAGCTGGATGGTTACGCCTGCTGATATAGAGCTGAAATCATCAGTTTTTAGAATTCAGACTGTTCTGCAAACCCAGAGGACACAACCTTGAGTGTTGTTCACTTTGGCTCGATGTTCTGGGAGATTTCTTGGTACTCTTGCATGTACAGTGTAGCTGACTCACAGATCTTCAGAGTTCACTTTTATAAACCTCTTCTTTCTTTATTTTTACCAGATCTCTGGAGATAATCATTCTAATGTGTTTTGTTTTTGTTTTTGTAATAGCTGGGATAATACTACTAGAGGAATTATTGATATAGTGAAAATGTGGAGTAGAGTGATTAAAGCGAGTCAGAGTCAATTAAATAAGTAAATAAAATAATTTGATTGTGTCATGGCAGTAGACTGGGGTTCCATCCAGTTTTATATTGTATTTATTAATTATTATTATTATAATTGTTTTACTTTTTGCCTTTCATTATGTATTATGGATGGAACCGTTTAAGTCATTTGTGGCTCAGTAAATAATTCACTCAGATGATTGGCTACTGTCACATTCCAGAACATGGGAGTTGCTTCAGACATAAGGCTTCTGTCACCCATCACTAACAAACATTAAAATTCAGTTTTTTGTCTGTGTGCAAATAATTCATTAATTGTAACATTTTTGTGCGTACATTTTAAATATTTTAATATACATTTTTCATATTTTAATATTAATGCAACTTGTTATTTTAGAACAAATCACATTCCTATTTACACAATGACAAGCCACATGCCACATGATACTCTGCAGCCAGAATAACACTGTGTGAATGATGGATAGATTTGATTCCGTTGTGGCTCAGTAAATAATTCACTCAGATGATTGGCTACTGTCACATTCCAGAACATGGGAGTTGCTTCAGACATAAGGCTTCTGTCACCCATCACTAACAAACATTAAAATTCAGTTTTTTGTCTGTGTGCAAATAATTCATTAATTGTAACATTTTTGTGCGTACATTTTAAATATTTTAATATACATTTTTCATATTTTAATATTAATGCAACTTGTTATTTTAGAACAAATCACATTCCTACACATTCCACATTACACAATGACAAGCCACATGCCACATGATACTCTGCAGCCAGAATAACACTGTGTGAATGATGGATAGATTTGATTCCAGCTGCTCTGAGATTCACTTCACCAGCATTTCACAATTTCATTTGAGAAAAACTACCATCAAATACACAATGAAACTCAAAGATCTTCACAACAAACAAAGTTGGTTTAACTTGAAAAAATTATGGCATAAATATATTACTTTTGTACATTAAAATGTACTTCTCAGAGTAATATTTTAAGAAATATCTTAAAGCCAAGATATTATTAATCCGTGTTTAATTTATACAGTTCTTTTTTTGCAGCATCCTATTTGGGGGGGGAAAAATCAATTAAGTCAAAAATAATTTTTAATCATAGCTCAACCCTAAATATTAGGTGTCCACAACAACGCACAATAATGTCTTATTTATTATAAGCATGCACTGCAGCTTAGCCATCTAGCACTTTAAATGCTTGAGCTCTTGAAAGCAGGATGGATTCTGATTGACTGTCAATGTTTTTGTCGTTCATCAGCTGGTAAAAAAAATTCCGCCTCCACGACAGGCATGCTCCTCCCTCCTCTCCATGCAGCATGACGGCCGGCCAATCGTGTGTGAAAGGTAGCATAAAAGCTCAATAAAAACGTATTCAAATAAAACACCAAGAATGACAACTATAATGACTCTATGATATCTTATCGAGATCGCAATAAAATTTGTCGATAATGATGACAAGTTCTGGACAGTTTTACTTGATATGGATTAATCTAACAGCTGATCACACGGAGGAAATACTAAATCGGGAGCAAGTTCTTTGTGTGAGTGAGTGGCGTAGTTATATGTACTACACAAACTCAAACACACGACAGTCACTGTGTTTTCAGCATCATTCAGCATATCAATCATATATCTCAATATATGTGGACAGTCCACAGAAACTTAATCTCCAGAGCTGCTCTGAGATTCACTTCACCAGCATTTCACAATTTCATTTGAGAAAAACTACCATCAAATACACAATGAAACTCAAAGATCTTCACAACAAACAAAGTTGGTTTAACTTGAAAAAATTATGGCATAGATATATTACTTTTGTACATTCAAATGTACTTCTCAGAGTAATATTTTAAGAAATATCTTAAAGCCAAGATATTATTAATCCGTGTTTAATTTATACAGTTCTTTTTTTGCAGCATCCTATTTGGGGGAAAAAAATCAATTAAGTCAAAAATAATTTTTAATCATAGCTCAACCCTAAATATTAGGTGTCCACAACAACGCACAATAATGTCTTATTTATTATAAGCATGCACTGCAGCTTAGCCATCTAGCACTTTAAATGATTGAGCTCTTGAAAGCAGGATGGATTCTGATTGACTGTCAATGTTTTTGTCGTTCATCAGCTGGTAAAAAAAATAGTTCTGAAAGTGATTCCAACGATACCGTTCCTCTGTGCCATTATCATTATAGTTGTAGTGTGGACTCTTGCTATTCTATTCAATTTTGGACGTTTTTTTAAAACAAACGTCCTTTATTGTTATAGTTACTGTCCTTTGTGTGAACAGGCCTTAACACCCAGAAATCAACATTCAAACATCATACTTGAGAAGAAACATGACTTGACTTCTAAACATCATATTTTACCATTCCTCCAGGTACCGTGTGGTGGTGTCCTACCCTCCCCAAAGCGAAGCAGAGCTGGAACTCAAGGAGGGAGACATTGTTTTTGTGCACAGAAAACGAGAGGACGGCTGGTTTAAAGGAACACTTCAGAGAAATGGCCGAACTGGGCTGTTTCCTGGCAGCTTTGTTGACAGTATCTAACGCACATGGTGTTTAAGAACGTAACATTTAGATATCAAATTCTCCATCACTGAAAATACAGCACTGAACTTCAGCCTTAATATTGATGAACAGCAGTGATCGTTAGGACTGGGCTGCTTAGGACTGTTGGAGCAAACTGTGAGGGTCATCAGTTGCATGGATTCGACCACAGTCTTATGAAAATCTCAAAACCAACTTGACCGGTCCTAGTCTTTCAGCAGTAGATCAAATACTTTTCCTGAAGCACATGGAAGCAACAAAAGTTTTAGCCGTTCTGACTCGGCACCCTATTTCTAGCACAGTAGATGAAGTCGTGATAGAATTCGTTAATTTATGCATCTGTAACATTTCAAAGATGATTAATGTGTGCCTTGTACTGTCTCACTTTACTGTATATAAGCAAAGCGAAGCTGATCTGAGTCATGACAAGAACAATATGATTTTTCTTCAACATTTAACTTATTTTTGTCTCGTAGGAATGGAGTTTTTTAGGGACGGTTTGTTATGAGAGTCGATTGGTTAGAGCCTGAATAATGTCACTGGTCATTTGCTTGAAAAAAAAAAATCAATACCAGATGAAGAGCCGAATGACCTCAGAAACATTGGTTTGACCAGCCATGTCTACTTTAGCTTGCATATAATGGGCTCTTTGAGTCATAGGATGTGGAGTGAGGACACTGCAGGCCTGTATAGTCTCACATTCTGATTGGTTGTGGTGTGTGTAAAGGTTTGCTGTAGCTACACTGAGTGGTGGAATGAAGGATAGCATATTGTTATTTTTAAAAGAACAAGATTACACTCCGACATTTTAATCAAATATTACTAATATTCCTTTACAATAACATTGCTTTTTTTGGTAGTAGAAAAGCCATTCAGCTAAACAGAAACAATCACTCATAGCAAAAGCACAGACACCCCGATATCTTACAGTGATAGTGCCATTATTCTTTTGTGCACACGTGTTTGTTCCCTCTCTGGTTTAGTTTCCTTCAGGCCCATACGTGGACACACAGCTGACCCAATGGTCATCGTCTTTACTGATTATTACCATTATGCCGTGGACAGTAGCCTTTACCTACCATAACATTACAAACTGCTTGAAAAATGTCCTTTAAAAACAGTGTCTAACTACAAATTCACAAACCATTGGTTTTTGCTTCTCTTTAAGTCGGGTTTATGATGTTGTCTGCTGTACGTTAGTATTTTATGTGATATTTCATGTTTTGTATACTTGAAAATGGTGTTTGTGTATTTTATGCTTCATACAGTAGATGAAATGTTATTATTATTTCGAAAGCACAAAGTGGTCTTTGATAGATTTTTTTCCCTTTGATTGATATGATTTATGTCCCGTTAAAACGTTGGTTGATTTTGGAGAATTTTTTCCTCCTTTGTTGTCTTGATGGCTTTACAACTAACAAGATGGCCTTCATTTGTTGTATTAGTGAAATTTACCAAACCACCTGTTAAAAGGTTTTATTTGAATCATTATTCTCTGTGTTTTTGATCACTGGTTTCCAGTTCTAAACCACTGGATGTCTCGTCGCTACATTACGGAGTCGACACTAGATTAAACCACCTACACAAGGAGCATTTCACTGCTTGAATCAAGCATGTTCAGAGTTGATTTCAGTCACTCATCTCAGTAAATGGCGTATTAGTCACACAGCAGAATAAAAGCTGATCACTTAGCATTTCATTTAATCTCAAAGTCCGTGTTAGATGTGAGGGGTATAAAATAAAGTAACTTTTATAAAACATGTTTTGGAGTACTGTTGTGAGTTGAGTATATTGGTGTGTTATGATGGTTAGAAGCTGCATACGAAAAAAAGAAACCACAGTATAAGCACTTCAGACTTGAGAAGCTCTCCACTATCGTTATTGCTCATCTTTACAGATTCTCACATTTGAAAAGTGTCATTTTCCACATGAAGCCACAGCTGCCCTCACACACAGACATGAACTCACATGTTTTCTTACAACACATGAATATATTTTCATCGGTCATGCACTTGCTCACATAAAGTTACACCATCTGTCTAATTCCTCATTCTTATTATTATTTGGTCAGTCTGTCACTCTTTAAAATTTAGCATCTGAAACGGTTCATAATGAATTATTGAGCACTCATTTGTACTCTTTATTGAAGGACAAAGCAGAAAAGTTTACAAGATTGCTTTTTCTTTACGGTTTTAAAGAATTGTGCTATTTAAAAAAAAATGAGATACAATAAAAGAAAAAGAACATCCTAAATTTTTAAAGGTTTAGTCTTTAAGTCCTCTATTTGTCAATGCAGTTTACGCAGTCATGATTTAGCAGAAGTTACGACAGATCTTTTCTCTCTCTCTCTATAAGTATTGTGATGCATCCAAAGTGAAATGGATTACCGAAAATAGAAAAAATGTAGGACAGGACTTAGTTCCATCCATCAGTTCTTGTTGATTGGATGGAGGCAGATCTAAATGAGAGTTTGCAGA